GTTTTTTTCTTTATGAAGATTTCTATTGCTGTCCAACTGCTCTCAAAAGTTTATGAAACATGCCATTAAGAACCCCAGTTAATTTTAAGCAAAATTGCCCATAGCTGGTCTAACTATGAGAGATTTATTTTTTGAATTAAGACACTGATTTATTTTCTTGTCTGGTTTTGGCTCATATGAATTGCTAACGTTTGATTTTTTACTCTTGTGTGTACATTGTGTGTGTCTGACAGCAGGATGGACAGCCACTGGAAAACATTCCTAACCATACTGTTTCTTCCAGATGTGTCAAAGTTGTTACTAAGTGATATGACAAGTTGAAATGTAGCTTCTAAATTAACCAATTTGGATATTAAAAGTAAGCCAGAGAGAGGGAGAGGGAGATGAAGTCATTTTAGGCTATAGTTTATTCCACTCATTTTCTTCTTTAGAGATTTTTGTTTTCCATAAGTACTGCCTCAGTTTTCAGATTGTGCTCAGTGAAACTCAGAAGTTGAGAGGTTCAGTAGGCATTCAAAAACAATCTCTCCCCATTACAAATCAATTTTACAGAAGAAAAAAAATATATAAGCATTCCCAAACTTTGACTAAATATTAGAACTGGGGCCAAGCCCAGATATTTGATTCCAGGTTTTCTGAGTTTTGGAGTGGTTAAGATCTGGCAGGAGGGGCTGATTTAGATTTATCTCTACTAAATACCAGAGATCAGCCTTTTGCATATTTTTCACAACAGTGCCAATAGCGTATTCAGTGCTGCATTAATATAGCGTTAGGACTCTGGGTTGGTGCCAGACTTTGCCAGGCACTAGGCAATGGGGAGTGAAGGGTGGCTCCAGGCCCTGGGGAAGGAGATGAGCTCTTGGGCACGGCAAGGGGCAGCCAGCCTGTAGTGCTACCTAGACCATGCTGCTCCTTTTCCCCAGCTAGCCCTCAGAGGCAGCCTTAGCTACATCCACCACTGCTGCTGCAGTATCTGTGGCAGGGCCCCAGAGCCCTGGCCTTTTCTAATTGCCGGGGCCTCAGGCAATTACCTGCTTTGTACTTCCCCCATCAGCTGCCCTGCTAGGGCTTGTCCACACAGGGAAATGAATTCAATTAAAGCAGGGTGTACATCTAAAATGGCACCTGCTTCACCTTACCAGGTGCAGTATTTCCCCCTCTGGCAGAGGGTGTCTGAGGTAAATTAGTTCCATTTTGGAGAGCTTTTATTCCTCGTGCAAGTTTTAATACTTGCATATTTACAAGGTGAGACTAAAGGGTACTTTCCCACCAAACAAAGCAAGGAACAAGTTCATAACATGAAAAAGGGAATACCTTCCGCTGTTCCCTCGCTGGGCTACTGCCTTGTTATGCTGGACTCTCAGTACCATCCCCAAACAGTGCATTACCATGGTTCTTCCCCTACAGAAAGGGGGACA